TCCAATTACACGATGGTAACAGATTTAGTTAACTTATATTAACCCTTTGCACTCGAGAGGCGACTCTCAGTCACCATTTAATCAAATTCTAAACATCATTATTAATATCTCGAATTTAAAATTGCCCAACAATGCGTGGAATATCCAGGTAAAATAATTCTACGTCTTACAATTAATTTGCGCCTCTTATTTATCGTTTCGAAAATATAGTCAACTTTATGGCAGAAAATTTTCGAATTACTATGTTCTCTAACAAAAAAATCACCGAGTGCAAAGGGTTAAGACTGTTAATATTGTAATTGTTTTTAAATTAAACTAATCGTTAAAAGAAGAAAAGACACGTGGTTTCCTTTATATGTAAATTTCATATGTGTCCGTAGAAATAGGTATACAAATAGCGTCCGTAAAGCTAGTGTTAAATAAAAGAAACTTAATAGAATCTCAACCGTGTCCACGACTCGATTAGCTTAATTAGCGGAAGAAAATCAGACAGCATCAACGATTGGATCTTTTCCCAGGACGAATGACGTCGAAACAACGGGTGGATTCATCAAGACCACCGGCGGCCTTATCAATGGCCGCTGAAAGACACATCATAACCAGGCGAACGAGCATTACTCTAACCTGGAACGCGCGTTCCACCCGCGACGGTAATTTTCAGCACGCGCGTGGTTCCCACGGGTCAGAAGATTAATTCGACACGGTGGCACGTGAAGGTAAAAATGACGACAAGCAGCAGATAGCCGAGCCAAGAGGAAGCCAGTTCGGCTCGGCGTGCCACGCGCGTTCGAGCGAGACGGAGTTAGACAGCGGCTGGCGGAGCGAGAGAGACAGACAGAGGGTGAGACAGAGAGGTGGACGATTGATGAGCACCTGCACCAGATTAGCGACGTTACTAATTGCAGCGAAATGGGTCGAGCTTAGCACCGAGTTAGCGTGCAAGTTAAATGGTAAACGCGTCGTCGGTTAATGGTCCCTTTTTCTTCCTTCGTCCGCGATACTCGCTCCTGGCAGAACGATTATCGCAAACGATCGCTCGTTCCTCGTTCAGCAGACTTCGCGGGCAAAATTCGTAAATAGCCGAGGCGAGGTTAACGAGGAAGCCTGGTAACTTAGGCGAACGGAACAAGCGATGTACGATGTAGAAAAAAGATATTTGGAATGGCTTTGGAAAATGTTTGGGTACTTGGTACTCGTTTCGGGGAGGAACGGAAAATAAAGGAGGGAGGAGAGAGGGGTGGTTAGTCGGGAGAATGGTTCGAATAGCTTCTGAAGTTTCTTTGAAGACCCTGGTCTAGTTCTGTCAGAGTAACGTATTGTTTCCCGTTCGATTCGCGCAGTTTTCTGAGTGACTAAAAGTAATAGAAATGTTCTTATAAAATAAATATTTTTATATTTTTATATTTTTATACTCTAAATATTATAAGAAAATATATGGAATGGTACAAATATCCGGGAAAAATAACTTTACTATTTTTAGATAAATGAAATGTATGACTTCTGATCAAAATTTTTGAAATTTCGTACTCGAATAATTAATATCGTGGTATTGAAATAGTTTATATTAAAATTCTGATAGTATTCGAACCTAGTTTTTAACTAATATCTTGACAAATATTTTTCTAATATTTTATCTTTTATGTATTTTTTTATGAATTAAAAATTTCAAATTCAACAATCCTTTCTCTATTTTATATTATATATTATATTTTTATATTCTAAATATTTTAAGAAAATATATAGAATGATATAAATATCCGGAAAAAATAATTTTACTATTTTTAAATAAATTAAATGTATAACTTCTGACCAAATTTTTGAAATTTGGTACTCGAATAATTAATATTGTGGTATTGAAATAATTTATATTAAAATTCTAATAATATTCGAGCCCAGTCTTTAACTAATATCCTAACAAATATTTTTCTATTTCTTCCTTTATATATTTTTTTATGAATTAAAAATTCCAAATTCAACAATCCTTTCTCTATTTTATATCATATATTTTTCTCTTCTTCCTTTTTACTTTTTTGAGCCAGGCTCGGGAGACAATAAATAATTATTAATATAACTGAACCGTTGCATCGGTCCTTGACCCTGCATTTTTACAAAGAAGCATCCAATAACTCCTAGTTACCATCTAATCACACTGCAGCGTTATAAATAGAGAATCATTGATTACCTGTACTTACACACGAGTGCGGTTATGTATTGTTATGTATGACGGGGATAATCTCTGTAATATCACTTCGTTCTAAGTCACGGAACGCTATTACCTGTAATATGAATGTAGTGTGTAATTCCACACTCTGCCCATTTTCATAGATACATGCCCGTAGAATGTATTACCTGTCATGCTACTCTGTAAATAACAATAATCTCCCGTACGTTTTACCGAATAAAGCGGCTGCGTTATTAAAACACGTTACTCTGACAGGTACCATTTCCGCGGGTGCATTGTTGAATTAAATGAAACGCGGATACACGAATGTAATTGAAAAACGAAGAGACCGTACTGTTCCGGGAAGTATTACAATTATAATTCCATGTTAAATCAAATTGCAGCTATTCTACGGAAAATATCGTTCAGCGCGGCCAGGAAAGGGTAAATTACTTTATGTTCATTATTTTATGAAGTATATCATCTGCTGACGCAATTGCGAAAATAATAATTTTCCCAAGTGACTTTATAGGTAGAAATTTCGAATTGAGGAAATTTAATAATTTCCTACTGAATTTTCTTCGATTCAAATAAAATGGTGGATTATAAGCTAGTAAAATTTGAGAAAAGTATTATAAAAATGAAATTTCTATTTCAAATATCAATTAGAAAATTTAAGAAGCGATACTATAGAGAATAAACAGATTGGAAAAATTTCGGAAATTATTTGTAAATAATCGTCAAATATTAATGAAATATTTCAAAGAAAATTCGGAAGTATCTATGTACAAGTATTAACCCTTTGCACTCGATTTATTTTCAAAGTTGTTGGGTGTCAACTTGTATTTATTTTTAGCTAAATGAATTAGAGTAATTTACAGTGGTAGAATTTAACGTGTTATATTTATTTCATTTAATTTTATTATTATAAATTGCGAGTTTTAGAGTAAATTAGTATTGTCACTTCCAGCATGACTTACGAGTTTTAATGTAAATTAGCATTGTCACCTCTAGCGTGACATATAAGTGCAAAGGGTTAAAAGTATTAATATTTCAACGATTTAAAAATATTTCAATTTCCAAGTGATTTTTAATATTCCAAAGTTGTATTGTGCAGATCGAGAAAAATCTAAACCAAAGTATATTACAAAATTCTCCTCTTCCCGCCAACGTGCCACGAGCAAGTAGATTTTTAAATATCCCATCACCATCAAGGATCCAAAACAGAAGAAACGTGAAATAGGCCCTGCAGGATCGCAGGTCCAACTCGAATTATTAGAATAAAATAGAACAGGCAATTAGACCACCGCGTGCCCCGTGATTATGCGAATCCCGTTTATTCTCATACTCTCGAATTCTAAATTCGTGTACCTGATTGCCGCCCTGGCGGTGACAGGGATATAAACCCACTGGCTGGTGCAGGTCTTCAGGTTTCCCTGGCGAGTCTATACATATGCTGCTAACGAGGTGTCTGATCTGCAGCGAATTAACAGATTTGCAAACGATTACTATCGAATTCCCGTCATAATTAAATCGATACTCGAAGGAAATTTCTTTCCGTTTTTATTCCATCGATTTACGTTCGATTATCTTACGCAATGACACCAGGAAATGCCTTCCTATCTCTTTGTCTCGTGTTCCTGACGAGACGGAAATACACGAAGCCACACGGGTGGATGTAAGCCTAGAATGGGAACAACTGAGCATGCAGGTATGAATAAAAGGGTATTAAGAGGGTTAGTGTCTTCCTTTGGAGAAACGAAAACTCGACTTTCCATGGGTTCTTCGATGCAGAAATATTATAAAGATATTCTTTTACGTCGTATGTGGAATTTATTTCATTTTCGGTGGGAAGAAAGGGCTTGCAATTTTGACAAAATTTCTTGGGAAATAAAAGGGGAATCTGGATGGGATATTTTTCCATATTGCTATGTTTTCGACCATGCTTAGATTAATTACGATAGACGGAGGTCTAAGCAAAAATTTTATCGAGATTTTCACTTCGCAAATCAAATATTTCTCTTAAAATAAAATAAATTTGGCATTTCAAGCTCGAGCTCCGAAATTAAAAATTCATATTTCATATGATCCCTATTAACGCAGTCTCGTCGCAATCTTAGGTTTTAATTCGCGCAGCGTAATTAAAAACCGGTGTCTGCATCCGTTGAAGGCAGAATCATAAAAACACGCGTAAAATAACAGACGTGAAATATTAATAGTAAATACCTGGATAACAAGAATGTAAAGCGAGAAACATTTTTCAATTCTCGCGAAAAATACGATCCAGTAAATGCATGGAATATAAAACAAATGGAAAATTAATTCCTCTTACAGTCTTTACTCAGTCCATTCCCATAATTACCTGTAAGAAGGGGCTTGCAATTTTGATAAAATTTTTTGGAAAATAAAAGGGGAATGTGGATGGGATATTTTTCTATATTGCTATGATTCCGATCGTTTGTATATTTGATTTTCGGTGGTAAGAAAGGGCTTGCAATTTTAATAAAATTTTTTGGAAAATGAAAGGGAAATTTGTCCATCGTAATTAATACACAGTACCTGAATCGAAAACAAATAAATTACACTGGATTGGTCGGTGACGGGGACTACAATAAATTCGAACAATGAGACTACTCTCGTCAAAGTTTGCGCCCCAACATGAAAGAAAAAAAAAAGAATAAAAGAAAATGGAGGCGAAAAATGTGAAAAGGGAAGTCGAATTTTCGTTCGATGCGTGAAACTGGCGCAAGAAAACGAAATGACGAATGAAACAAACGGCTGACGGAGCTCTAAAATATGTCTGCCTGAGGTATAGATTCAGCTTCCGGTCTATTTGTACCTGATTTCCGCCCTGTCGATGGCAGGGGTAGAGCCCAGCCGGTTTGTGCAAGTCTGCCTTGCGTGCCGGCGAATCCAGACAGGTGTTACCTCCTTCTCCGAGATTACGAACCTGTTCATTAGTTAGTACGATCATTTCACGGATTACTATCGCTAAAAATGGCACGTTAGTACGCAAATTTCTTTCCGCGACGTGGCGAACACGGGGGAGGAAAAATGGCGCTGCCTCGGTAACTGTCGCGGTTGCTGCCTCTTTAATTACTATAAGACTTCTTCTACCAATTTTTAAAATTTTTATTTACGGATTTTATGATATTGTAAATATTTTTATTAATTTTCTGGAATTTTGAATGACTCGAATTTATGTCCTTTTGGATTTTTTAAAATTATTAATTAATTATAACGATGGGTAATTGGAATGTCTGTATTTCTAGGTTTCTATCTTATTTGTTTATTTATATGGTATTGTATTTTATTAATATACTACTATACTGGAGCAAAATGTTATTTTGTTGTTAGTGATTGTGCTTGGATTTTTAATTAATTTAAAAATGTAATTGATTATACTCTTTTTGTTTTGAAAATATAGACGATTTTGGTAATGAAGGGTTGGTGATTGTTGAAATAATAGACAAGCACAATTTTTATTCAATTTTGTCAGAATATGCAAAGTTGCTTCTGGTTGATGGCAAAAATTTTTATTTTAGAATGAGAATTTTATGAAATTTTTTATGAAAATCTTATGAATTTTATTAAATTTTCATCATCTTTAATATTTATAATTAAAATAAACATTTGATTTCTCCACTATAGAAGTTTCCTATTCAAATTATTAATCCTTTGCACTCGAGAGACGTCTTTCAGTCGCCATTTGATAAAATTTCGAAGCTCGATACTAATTAATATATCAAATTTAAAATAATGTAACAGTGTGCGAGGTATCGAAATTAAATAATTCTACTTGTCAATTATTATACTATTTCTTATTTACTGCTCAAAAAATATCATCAGCCTTATAGCAGAAAATTTTTCAACTCGTACCCTTCTTTAGCCAAAAAATCGTCGAGCACAAAGAGTTAAAGAATTGTATGCCCGAATCAAATTACGACAATAAGATTCTAATCAGTACGAAATAAAATTTAATTACCGTGTCAATCGGATAAAAATATTCGTAAAATTCGATACAAATTTAATAAACACAAAAAATACCTCGACATTCCAAATTTAAAACACCCATTATTAACCATCCTAAAGAAAATTATAATTTTCCATATAAACACGTACAATCGCCATAAAGATGAAAGAAAAATTTCAAAACACTTTTCCTTTATCACGAAAAATCCGAGAAAAAATTGCCTTGATTAGAGAGACAGCATCGTGGATGAATGCTCGATTCTCTACAGAAAACACGGGGAATTATGTTCCCGGGGAAAATATTTGTCGCCGTAACAGACGATTGCTTATAGAAAATATTATGCCCTCCGATGCAGCGCGTTATTTTTCCCGGTGTTCGCGCGCGTCGCCAGGGATATTTACAGCGCGACCAAGTTTTTCGCGGCGCCGTGTCTGCAAAAACAAAAAACGCATAAATCAATGAGAGAGGAACGTAATAATCGAATGATCGTGCTTGCAAAGCTTCACGGTGGCTGTGGAAAAATTTTCCAACCCCTCGATACATCGCGGCCGACTTTATCGCCACGTTTCCGCGCTTTATAGTCGTCCATTCGCGTTAAACATTTCTTTTGTCGAGAATTCGTACTTGGAACACTCGTGGAATCTCGATTGTACGGTCCCGTGATTATAACAGCTTTTATTAACCCCTGGTTTATAATCGTCAAGCGTGAAGAGTTCTTGCAGAGGGTTCTAATTCGTAGAGGGTGCGAGGTGTAGTTTGAGAGCGTGGATAATCATTGAGTTGGCTACGTGCAAGATAGGTTAATAATTTGGCGCATAATTTTTCTACACTTTAGAATATTTTAATAACACAATGATTATATTTACGTAAATTTAGAAATTTTTTAATTGAGTTGGTTTAATTTTTTGAGGGTCAGTGTGGTAGGTATTGTAGATTCACGAATGAGGAAATTGTACGCGATAATAGAGGTTTGTTTTTAATGATAAAAATAATAAATAATAATAAATTTTCTATCTTCCCAAATTTTTGTTACTGATTGTACAAATTAAATTGTAAGTAATTCGACGTTTTGTATATTTTATTTACACTCTCCGATAGAAAGTTATTTAATGTAGTTATTTAAGAAAGAGACTAATTGCAGTTCTGACGTATTGAAAATTTGTAACATTTCCGATAGGTTTCTCGATATTAATTTTCTGGAAATTCAATCGAATTATTTTTCATTCCTATCTCAAAATTTCGAGGTAAAATAATGCATCTCTGTAAAACGCGTTCGAAACAATTTTGTAGAACTCTACATTTATTTTGTAACGTTCCATTTAAAACACTATTTATCACGGAATTTCCATGAAATTTACTATCCAGGAAAAACCACATTTTCCTGTATAACTCGTTTTCATACTCAACATCTTCAATATGTCATTTTATTCACTATCAACATGCGAATATCTACTAAAATGATACTTAAATATCACGCAAGAATCTGTTTTTGTTTAACACTTACAATTAGTCCGAGAAATTTCGTGTCTGTTGTGTAACAGATAAATCAAAATTCGATTTATATAAAAATTTCCAAATAATTTCAAAATAAAGAAAAAAAATGTTGGATTAATTTTTAAACATTATACAAAAATCTGTAGCAATTCAATATTCGATTTATCACTAGACTACTCATGTAATACACTATGTGTATGTGCTTTCTAACATTTACTCTAATCAATTTTATGTCTACTATGTTCGATCAAACCACTATTTATCCAACAATTTCCAAACATAATAATTCATAAATCAAAAATATCTTTAATTTCTTTTCCAAGAACACATAAAAAAATTGCATAAAACTGATATTTGCACCAAAACCATCACCATGAAATTTTTCTATGCACTATTCTACATCTGTACAACATTTTCCACAGCAGCTATAAATTTTCAAAATTTCCAAAACCCATTATTTCTACGATAAAAATCCCGATCAAAGTAAAAATAAAACCTCTAATTTGTTTTCCAAATATCGTAAAAACGTGGTAGAAAATGAACATTTGGAACAAAGCCATCACCGTAAAACTTCCTATACCCTTTTACAACATTTACCACGATATTCAACATTTACAAGAATTTTCAAAAATCAGAAAAACCCATTATTTTCGCGATAAAAGTCCTGATTAACGTAAAAAGTAAAACCTTTAATTTCTTTCCCAAATATGGCAAAAACAAATGGGAGGAAATTAATATTTCGTCTAAGCCACCCCTTTACAAAACTTACCACGATGGCCATAAAAATTTCCAAAAATCCCAAAAACTATTACTCTCGCGATAAAACTTTCGGTCAAAGTGAAAAGAAAAATCTGTAATTTCTTTCCCAAATATCGTAAAAGAACCGGTAGAAAACCGAGTTTTATACCAAAACGACCACCGTAAAACTCTCTACACGCCTTTGTTACGATTGTCCATTTCCCCGGGCAACCACGAGAACGTCCAAAAATCCCAAAACCCATTATTTCGACGATAAAATCCGCGATGAAACTAAAATGGAAAACCTCTAATTTCATTCCCAAATATCGCAAAAGAAAAAAAAAAAAGAAAAACGGTAGAAAACCGAGATATGTACCAAAAACCACCACCGCAAAACTCCCCACGCGCCTTTGTTATGATTGTGCACTTCCCTGGGCAACCATAAAAATTTTGCAAAAATCCCGAAAGCCGTGATTCGCGATCGAAGCCGTACAATCGATATCCACCCCGATCGGCGGAACGTATCGAAGGGTGGTCGATTTTGCCTGGGGACACGGCCGCAGAACAGTTGCACGGGACGCGAACAAAAAGATCAGGCCTGCAACGGAGCGATGCTCTCTTCCATTTTTCAGATAGACGGCGACAAATCGAAAATGAGCCTCTCCGCTGTTTTGTTCGCGAAAACACACTCGCCCTCTCCGCGTGTGCTCGCTCGTAGCTGTTGTACACGCGTGCACACGCGAGCAGGCGTGTACAGACACACGAGCTTGCACCGGAGGTGTGCATGCTCGTGCATTCAGTCACGAAGCTCGGTCAGCAGTCCTGATTTCGCTGCATGCAAGAATTCTGTGGTCGCTGCAGTTTCAAACACGGGCATCTTCGTCCTTTTCATCCACCGGCGTCGTCGTGGTTGCCGGAGTGCGGCTGGAATAAAAACTACTGATTTATAGACGACGTTTGGGTAGCATCGATGAAATTCCGGAAGACACGGGCTCTCCTTTGGGTGCAGGTTTATTAGAGAGACTCGGAGGCTCCTCGTTCGCTGGAGTTATATTTTTAGAACCGAGGTCGAAGGGTTTGATTTATACAGCTGGTATTTCTAGGGTGGTTCCACTTGGCGCGGAAACCCGATGGCTTGATGAGAATTTAAACGATTCGTGGGATTCGAGGGTAAGTAATTTGCTGGATCGTAGTCTGAACGCCTTTACTCGGGTTGCGTGAGATTTAGGATTTCTCTTTTCAGGGCTTAATCGTGTTTTTATTTCACTTTTATTGTCTATCAGGTGCGTACTTTATTTTGGGGACGATAATGGGAGTAATAAAGAAAGAATGATCATTTTTTCGTTGGGAAAAATTGAAAAGAATTCGAAATTGTGTATGTAATAATTATAAAATTTTAATTAAGTATGATTAATAATTAAGTAAATTATTTTTCATTGTTTTGGTAGGGAATAATACATTTTTATTGGAGTAGATAGCGAAACGGAGTTTAGAATGCAACTAATTTGAAGATTTATTATTTTGAAATAAATCTTCTTTCGAATTTTTCGTTGTTCTTATCAATTTTGGAAAGTGAATTTGGCATGTGCGAGTCACGTCAGTTTATGACTGTCACAATCTGGTCACGTAAGAGGTTTAATTAATCGAGTGTTTAATATTCATTTATCCCGATTTGAAATTTATGCAATTGAAATTGAATTGGGATATCAATGGTTTATATTGGGCGACGGATATATGGGATACGT